TAAAATATAGTAAATTACTCAAAGAAATTTTATAATGATGCCTTCATGACTATCTTTCGGGTCATAGAGCCATCTATCATGATGGAGTTCAATCTGACCTCATTCCCACTCACTGCCTCTTTACTCATCTGTAGGAGAGACCATAATTAAAGAGAATGAAGCCTGATCAGGTTCATTTACTGAGCACTTTAAGCAAGATTATAAATTTGCTTGAAAATCTGTTTTTAGAAGCAAGATACAGGCAAAGTAGAGGTGAATAACACATGAACGTTTAGATCCCGTGCAGCCTAACCTGTCCTTAGTAAAACCACTGAGACATGCCTAATCATTGAGTGGTCTTCCTAGAAACGGCTTGGCAATTGTTTCCATTTTGTGCTTTATTCAACAATTTATATCATTCACTTGGTTCTCCAAGTGACTATCTGTGGTTTATTATTTCAACCTCAGTTGATAATCTCACACTAATATAGGTATCATTACACTAACGAGAGGGCAACAGATGCTGTAAAGATTTGCCCCAATCTGACCCAGGGGAATGAGAGGTTAGATTTTTTTTTTTTTGACAAATGTATAATAAGGTCGTAATCAATGCCTTTTAAAATTCATCAATGGTGTTAAAGTTGCATTTCAGAACTTTAAAAAAATGTTAGAGCTTTAATCATCTATTTTTTGTGCCATGTTACAGAGCAGCAGCTACAGATTTTCTGCAAGTTAGGAGAAAGTGTCGCTAAAGGTTTTGTAACCAAAACAAAAAAGGCACCGTCTGAAAACTGAATCAACACCAAATGTCCAATCTAGGAATTAACTTACCATTTCTATATCTAATATCAAAACTCCAGGCCATTTATTCAATATTTATTCAACAACTACTTCTTAAGCACCTACTATTAATATTTGCCAATACGATGAAGATATTATATTGCATTTCTACAACAATAGGAGACCCATTTGATAACTCTTTAATTAAGCATGGTCGAATTCATATTGAGCAAATTAACAGAGGAGATAAAATTAGCAATAGAGGGCCCTTGCCTTTTAGAAGCTTAGTTGAGTGGAGAAATGTACGAGTCATGTAAGGGACACACCAGGTGTCTGAATACAGGTCTAGGGAGCTCAGAGAAAGAATCAGTCAGCATTGACTTAGTAGATTAAAGATGGCTTCATAATGAAGTTGATGTCTGAGGGCCCTTAAGATGAGTAGGAATTCTACTGGTAGAAAGGGGCAGAAAAGAATTTCAAGTAGAGGAATCCACAAGAGCAAAGGCCCAGCAACATGGCAGTGGAAGAGAGAAAAAGGATTATACTGGTGGGTGGTGGTGAGAAGAATGAGGAGGGAGCATGAAAGTTGGATGGGACCATATTGTGAAGGGCAAGGAGTTTGTGCATAGGCACACTGGGGTCATATTTTTTAGAAAGATAATTCTAAAAGGAATGGGGAAGATGGCTGGAAAGGGTAAAGAAAGGCACATATATGTGTACTTAGATGAGGGGTGAGGTGCTGCGGGCATTATATTCTTTTTAAAGTTGTGTTGGAGTAACTTCACTAATTGAATGTAGGTAATTAAAATTTTTACAAGAATTAACTTTACATATGGCTTAAGTAGAATTATTCCCGAAGTAGAAGATCTATGATCTTTAAAAAAAGAGGAAACATGATTTCATTATTTTCTTCCTATTATTAATACAGTACATATTAATTTCAAAGCAAGCATGTGATACGGATTGGATAAAAAAAGACGGTAAAAATGAATCACAATCACTCACCAGAAAGAAACATTGTTTGTATGTGACTCTTCAAATTTGGCTTCAATTCCATCATCTAGAACTAGACATTGAATAAGATTGATGATGGACAGAGTAATTCAGACAACTAGTGCCAAAGTCTGAATTAAGCAGAAGTGAATAGAACAACGTTGGCCTTCCTTTGGGCAGGGAAACTTGCTAAGGAAGATGTTTATTGCTATATTATAATATTTATAAATTATTTAAGATTATTTCAAAAAAGTGCTAAGTACTATGAAAAATACAGTAGAAAGGGTTTTGTATTTTGCAACACCCACTTGTTTAGCACCTATTTTTTGCTTTGAAACGAAAATGAAAAAGCGCAAGTAGTAAAATGCATCTCTTCAGTCTTCAATTACCTTCAAGTACTGAAAAATGGTAAACTTTTATTCATTAATTCAGCAATCCTTTAAAAAATAAGTTATAGCACAATACTGACGATAGATTTATCGGCGAACAAAATATGGGTTTTATGTCTGTATGAATGGAGCTCACAATCTTATGTAGTTTATCAAGATATTCTTTCTTCCTCCTCCCCAGAATAGAAGTCCCACCTATTTTGTAAGGTCTGGATCTGTTCTCTCATTTCCATAAAGTTCTCTTTGCACTGTTCTTGCTCCTGCACGTTTATCTCTTCTCTGACATTTCATCTTTGTTAGAGATGAGACCATTATCATACAATTTTGGTCCTATGCCATTAGAAACTGATCTCTGTTAAATGTGTCTCAGTTCTTTCTCCTCAATAAAATAAAAAATTCCTTAAAGACAAAGGCTTGGGGTGGGCTAAGGACCAAATTTTTGAATATTTAGTAATATTGAGCAAGGCATCTAGAATATTCCTGGTAAAAGCATTTTAATGTAAATGAAAAACTTATTTACCAAAAGCGTGGTTCTTGATCATATTAAAAGAGATGTCGATAAAAACTGTCTTAGTATGGACATCTCACAATACTGCTTCAAATGAAGTGGACCTGATGAGAATTTCCCTCTGGAATGTCATGGCAGACTCTTCTTTTCACTTGTTATTTTAAAGGTAAATTTTTCATTATTTTCTAAAGATATTGTATACTTTAAATGTCTCTAAATGACCTAAATGACAATCCAATCAGTTGTCCATTTCAAACAATAGTTAAATTAAGGCTTAGTTGCACATTAAATTTTCCAAGGGGGAAATAATTGCTTCATGTTTCATGACCACATTTTAAATTGATTTAAAGCTGTAACAAATCAGAATGCAGTTAGAATATTAAAATAAGGAAGTCATTCTGTGAATCTTAACTGCATTTTAGCATTTCAAAATTGTTGTTATTTGCAGGTTTCTTTGGAAGCAGTTTAAATATCAATTTATATGATTTATAAGACATGCTTTGAACAGGCATCTTAATGAAGTACTGCATAGTATCCAAATTAAGTATATTGCTTAAAGGAAACTAAGTTGTAAGGAAGCTTAAGATGAAGATTTATGCTGATAGAACTAGGACATGCTTGTCCTTTATTGTAGCCTTTAAAACTTGAAATTATTCTGTTCAAGGTTATTTGAATGGCTGTCTTCACTGTTAAGAGCTTCTAACTGGTATAACTAGAGTTCTGACCCTCTTACCAGTTTGCAGAATAGTTTGAAATGAAATTTTTTAGAAACAGGAAAACAGCCAGGGATATTTATGCCATGTACCAGATTATGACGAAGGGCATAGAGTTTGAGACCGAAAGAAAACAGCTCTCAAGAAAATGGAAGAATTCCTGTGAAAAAGTTTATGTGAAGTAGAATTTGTTTATCAAATTTTGCTAACCCAGATCTTTTCATATTCTTTTTTACAATGGATACTTTGGAGCCATTTACTCCTATTAGAAGACACATCTACTAATTCTTAAGCAGTAGAAGACTTCTCAAACTGTCTGGGAAGAACATGGTCCCTTGGTGTTATCATCTCTCTTTAGTAGTCACATATCCTCTCTTTGCCAGCCCGTTAGCCACATCTAGGCTAGGGCAATAGGAGAAAGCACTTCATAATTTTTTTGTTTGTTTGTTTGTTTGTTTTTTGTAAAGCCATAGCAAATTCTAATTCTAAAGTCAGGTAACGTGAAGACAATTTACCAAAACACATGTAGCAGAATGTTTTCTCTGTTCTCATGTAAAACATGTGGTTGGCTACCATTAATGGCAAAATCTAAGATGTCACAGGCAAGACACAAACCCTGAGACACAAATCTCAGTCTTTCAAAACAATAGGACATTTACCATTAAAAATTTATTTAAAAAGCCAAAGAAGTTCTATATACCCACATGCACAAAAGCTCTTCCTTAATGGCATCTTGTATTTTCATGTTTGGCTATTTAACATTCCTCTCTGCCAGCCATGTAGACCAAGAGCAATTAACTACATTTCTTGAAGACAGAAGCCATATTCCCTTATTTTTTTTTTGTACAAAGTGTAGCCCACAGTGGTGAGCTTAACTATGTTTCGTTAACAAAGGAGCAATCTATATACAAATTTGCTAAGAAATCAACTACATAATAGATAACATCCCAGTTGTCTCATTGAACCTCACTTGATCACAGAAACAGATGTTGAAACAAACCAAAGAGTGGGGTATGGCTAATCAAATTTAGAATATCTCATCAAGTCTCAGTCAGCTAATCTAATTTATGACATCTAATCAAGTCTCAGGGTTTATGGAGATATATTCCAACCAAGCAGCAGAAAAGAAAAAAAAAAAAAAAAAAAGAGAGAGAGAGAGAGGAGAGAGAAAAGAAAGAAAATCTATACCAGAAACCTCTCAAAACCATGTGACTGTTAAGAGTTAATGCCACAAGGAGAGAATATGGTTGGTTTACTAATCGTGGTCTATTTCTGTGCATGAACTCTCTTTCTTGCTTCCTAAATCTTAGTTGTTTTTATAGTATTCATTGCTGACCAAAAGGATGTACCAGGTTAAGTATATAAATAAAGTACAGCTAATGTTAGTTGTTATTTATTGGAATTTGTATTTCAAACAGGGCCTTCAAGCTGTCTAATTTTTCTTGGAAGATTAAGAGTAACAAAGCCTCATGTTTTTGAGACAAGAAGCATTGATTTTTTTTTTTTTTTTTTTTTTTACAATAGGTATTTTTTTAAAAACCTTGTTGGTGGTGACTGGTTAATACAGGTGACCAGAAATGCAGATACACATTCATACATTCACATATCGAAACATTAGAAGTTTGGGTTCTCACTGACCTTCAGGTTGGTATTGTGCTATAATTGTCACCGTCTGTCCAGCCCCCTTTAGTGCTGCAGCAGCCTGTTCATGGGATGCTCCACGGAGGTCAATGCCATTCACCTGGAAGACAGGAAGAAAGAAGAAAAACGTTTTCCCAAACTGTGAGGCTAAGATTATGTCACCTGCCTCAAAACTCCTCATGCATTTGAGACCCAGGCATTTGAGTCTTAACTTAGTAGGTTTCATGCTCTTGAGAACTTTTAGTTAGCTGACAAATGAAATTTCACCTTGTGGTGTTTGTGCTATGGTCTGACGGGGCTGAAACTTTTTTGTACCCACATTCATGGGGATGTTAGCGTCTGCATTTAATATGCTTCTGTAAGTTTCCTGGATTTCTGGAGTAGATAGTACCCTTCGAAATTGGAGAAAAAAACAGGACGACAAAAAGAGACACATGTAATATACGTAGAGAAGTATGTGCTGACAGATTAATTTATTCAGATGAGGTTCTGGGGAGACTGTATGGAATGGGGCTGGCTGTCCGCCAAATCCTCCTCTTTGGTAATGTGCCTGGTCCTGTCATTCTGAGCTTGGTTAGATAGCCCTGAGCCTTGTTCCAAAATAAACTTAACTGCCCCATTTCTCATGCACAATTCTAGCATGAATTATGACAAAATGAAATAAAGAATGTCTGGAGTTTATGTTGCTGTTGCTAACTCCCATTTTGGGGCCCATGCCAGGAGAGAAACAGAGCATCTAAAAAACAAGCACAAAGCTCTGCCATGAGGGAAAAATTATTCTGAAGTCAAATTTAGTGAGAAGCAAAAGCTAAAATCTTCCTCAAATCAATTTAGTCTAAGTCAACACAATGTAATTACTGGATGCTTTTCAATGACAGGGCTCTCTGCCCCAGGAGAGGCACATAGGTGGGGAACAAAGAACACAAGCTCCTGGGAAGCTTTTCTGCTTTAACTGGACACACAGTAAGTCCAGTTTTCTAACCTACACAGAGCTAGGTTTTTGCAGATATCAGAATTCTGTTTCCTTTTATTTACAGGGAAGGTGGCTATCATCCGTGAAAAAGAATAAAAACTGATCAGTGTATCTACACATAAAGTGTAGAATCTTATTTGGCCTCTCATCAATCCTCTTTGACAATGACATTGGGTGTGTGTTTGGGGGTGACCACTGTGTTTCCCTATCGGGCCTGGAGCATCAATTCTACATTCTGATCCTCTCATAATAACCTTGCTGAAGTCTCCTTATTCACATTTATAATTTTTCTGGCCTCTTCCCTAGCTTTCTATTCTGGTGAACTCATTACTGAGAGCGTTGATTACATAGTAAATTGGGAAGTCTGCTAAGCTAGGCTTGGTCTGGTTGTGCCACTCACTAGCTGAGTGACTGTCATATTATCAGTCCGAGCCTCAATTTTCTCCTGCTTCTTAAAGTTAGACTCAAAGAAGTCTTCGAGTCTAACAGGTCTTCTGAACTATAAAATTCAGATTTACTCCAAGTAGATGACAGCCATTTCAGAGACTATCCAGGCATTGGTGAGTCACAAGTATGACTCAGAGAGCCAGAAGAGACAGGAAAAGTAATTTGATCTAAGCTCCTGCCTACAGTAAGCTGAATACACAAATGTCATGGACCAAATAATCTCTTCTCTTTTCAAACAATTCGAGTTAGCTTTTTATTAAAAAAATGATACATGATCATGGTAAATGAATTCTAATGTTTCAGAAAGGTATAAAAGGGAAAGTAAAAAGTCCCTTCACCATCTGCACCCCTGTGGTAATCACTGTGAGCGATGTCTTGTGTATACTTTATAGCAATCTACTATATACACATGCAAGCACATGACTTTATCTCTGTTTCTTTCTCTATTTTTTAATATATTATCACCTTTTTATTTAAATGAATAGGATCACATCACATATAATTCTATAACTTGTTTTGCTTTTTATTTAACCATGTATCTCGGACATCTTCCATATCAGCTCATGTCAGTTTACCTTTTTAATGAGAGCCTATGCCATGGTATGGATGTACCAGCATTTTATCAATACTATTCCTATTGATGTAGCTAGGATTGCATCTGCTTTTTGCTACCACAAATACTATGAATGTGTTTCTGAAGAATAAATTTATTGGAAATATGCTTTCTAATCAAAGAGCATGTACATTATTAATTTCTTTCAATTCGCTATCACACATTTTAAAAATGATTATTCACTAAACAGAAATTAATAAAGAAAACAAAAACAGGCCATAATCTGATTGCCCAGATAATGTATTGATATAAAAAATAAAATTAATATATGTACATAATGCACATATATGAAAATTACAATGTGAAGCAATACAAAAAGGCATAAATATAAAAGGTTCTCCCTACCTTTTATTATTCTCTCCAGAGTAACCAGGTTGATGGCTTTTTGTATATACTACCAATTGTTTTTGTTATGAATATAAGATTTATAAAATTATAAATAATTTTTAAATTTTATACAGAAAAGATATTTTATACATTGTTTTATACCTTGTTTTTTTTCCACTTATTAATATATCTTTGAGAGCTTTCTTCATTCACATATTCCTATACATTGTCTCATTCATTTTGACAGCTGTGCAGTGTTCTATTATTCAGTGTCAAACAATTTATTTTATCAGTGCAAGGTAGATGGGCCCTTAGGTTGCTTCAGTATTTTGCTATTATAAACCACACTGTAATAAATATCACCTAACAATAACTTGTTGAATAAAGGGTATGAGAATTAACTATTGCTATTGCTAAGTTGCCTCCAAAAATGTAGAATTATTTTATACTCCCACCAATAATGTATGATTGGCTACTTCCTCACACCCATAAAAATTGCACATATTCCAACATTTGACCTTTGCCATTCTGATAGGTAAACAATTGTATTTTAAAATTTTGCATTTCTCCATTTATGAAGTTAAGCATCTTTTAATATGTTTGTTAGTTATTTAAATTTCTTTTTGCATAAAATGCCTATTGACTTATTTTGCTTATTTTTTACTTGGATAATTTGCTCTTTTAAAAATTTATCTGCATATTAAAATATTAGTGGTCCATCTCAGATAACTATGGCAAACATATTTGCTAGCTTGGTATTTCTAGTTTGTGTATTGTATTTTAACTATTTAAAATTTTCCCCTGTATAATATTTTTGTCATACAGAAGTTTAAAAGGTTCTATGTAATCACATTTATAACTTCGTTTCCTCTTTAGTTTTTGAGTTTTGTATGTCTTCTCTTCTCCAATATACTTGACAAGTTACTCATGTTTTCTTCTAATATAACCATAGTTTAATTTTTAGCCATTTAATCTTTGATCTATGGGAATATATTTTGGTGTTTAATGTGAGAACCAGGTGAACAATCACTCTTTCTTAGACCTTTCCTTTATAGTATCAGATTTCTACATCTTTCAATAGTCTAATTATTTTCTAAATTTTTCTTAGTTAGTGCACTAAGAGACCATGGAAAAGTGAGAAGAAACAAAGATTTGGAGTCAGATAACTGGGTTTGAATCCTGAATCCACCAGTTATATCTAAGTAACTTAGGAAAGTTAATTAACTTCTTCAAATCTCAGCTTCCTTACATGAAAAATGGGTATAATGCCTACCTATCAGGGCTGTTGGATGAAATAAATGAGGCCCTTAACACAGAGCCTGATACAAATAGGCATTCAGCAATTAGTATCTATTATTTATTGCTGTGAGTATTTCTTCAAAGAGCTGTAACTATAAGTGATGAAATACAATCTAATGGAAATTAACCAAAACAGAATATAATGTATGGCTTACTTCATGTTTGATTCTTTTTTTTTTTTTAAAGGAAAACAGAATTTCAGAAATGCAAGAGCCTTAGAAACTTGTTCATCCACCACTTATGCATTAGAGATAATCCCCATAGGCGAAGGAACCTGCCCAAAGTCACATCAGAGTTAGCACAGGCTTAGGACCAGCCAAGACTTCTTTCCTGTCACAGATGTGCCCAACTATGTATGTGTTTGTTTTCCATTGGACCAGTAATAACTAAATCTTGTTTATCTTAAGCCTAACTCTCCATGGGTCTTGACATTTGCAGAGCATTCGGTGCTGCTGTTATCCTGAACAATATCCCATTGCACGTGTACGTGCTGATTTTCTTCTAGGTGTTAACATACTTGCTCTTTTCTAATCTTTCAAACTTTTCAAGGTCACTTTGATCCTTATTTTTGCCCCTGAATATTAAGTTTTTCATCAGTAATCTTTGCTCAAATAACATTTCAGAGGCATTCATAAACAGTTTCCATCACTGATATGATATTTTGAAATACCAAATGTGACACAGACTCATATATTTATTATGTCTATTTTTCTGCTTTGGTTTGAATTTTCTCTTCTGAGGCATGGACTAGGAGATTAGATGCCATTAATTATTTTTGAGATTAACAATGATAGTCATTGGTAATATTTGCTGATTATCAGGCATGCTCATATATATAGGAGATGTTTATATAGCCTCTCATTTAATCTTCAGAAATCTGGGATTGTTTTTCTGATTTTATAAATAAGAAAACTGAGCTCAGAGAGAATTATGAACTTCTTCAAGGTTAAATAGTTGGAAGAGGTTAAGGACTTAAAACAGTTGAACTACAACTCTTAAGCTCTTTACCACTTTCTACAGTTCTTCCTTTAATATCCTGTACAGTTTTGAGAGGGCATAGCTATCAAATACCAATTCTGAAGTTTGCCTTTCAAGCTTCCAGAGATTGACAGCACACAATTGAGTGTGATATGCTTTGCAATGGGCACAAGCAATCTGATTTAGACATTATGGCCCAGCTTATAATGATCAGATCATGTAAGGCTGAAGCAAATGGCTTTGGGCAGGCTAGAAAAATTCCATTTACTGCTATCTCCATATGTATACAACTGTCACTGGATAATAGAAAAAAAATTCTATTTGTTATGACATCCTTTCACAATCATGTTACCAATGGATAGAAAGTTTAGGACTTCTAGTTGATTTAAGTAGTTGTAGGTATTTTTTCAAATGTTGATGTGAAGATGAATGCTTTCAGGGTCGATCTTTTTTCTTTTTGTTC